AAGAAGTCAGTCCCAGATCAAATCAAACCTGCACTATCTCTGGAGGCAAAAACGTTGAAGCAAATTTTTTCCTATTTTTGGGCTCATTGTGAGATGGTAAGATTTTCTGGAAAAGATTATAATGCTGGGAAAAGCGGAAGGCAGCAAGAAAAGAGGAAGAGCAAATATGAGATGAGCAGAGCTGTTGAGAACAGGACATTTACAAGTCAGTCCCAGATCAAATCAAACCTGCACTATCTCTGGAGGCAAAAACGTTGAAGCAAATTTTTTCCTATTTTTGGGCTCATTGTGAGATGGTAAGATTTTCTGGAAAAGATTATAATGCTGGGAAAAGCGGAAGGCAGCAAGAAAAGAGGAAGAGCAAATATGAGATGAGCAGAGCTGTTGAGAACAGGACATTTACATAGTCATTCCAGGCTTCAGTTTACAAGAGCTGAGCAGAGACCTGTTGAGAACAGGACATTTACGTAGTCATTCATTCATAGAGTCTCCATCAGTTGGAAACTGACTTGATGGCACATAACAACAGGAGGTCCTACCTTAAGAGTCCAGCTCAGATCTTGCAAACTAAAGGCTGTATGCAGTCCCTTTATCAAGTCTATCCATCTGATGCTGAGGTTTTCCTCTCTTCCTATTGCCTTCAAGGTTCCCTTTAGAAAAGGTGTCAACACACTTCTCTTTATATTAGCCTTTTAAATGACCTTTGTAGGTGTGACTTTTGTATTTTAAAACTGTTTACTATTTATATAAATTTGTGTGTGTGTGTGTGTGTGTGTGTGTGTGTGTGTGTGTGTGTGTGTGTGTGTTCATGCTGACAGTTTTGATTTGCTGTGGGCTGGGGTTTTTTTAACTTTTAGGGGAAAGAAGACATACGTACAGTAGAAGTAAAGGGGAGGATTATGGTTTCCCCCTGCAGGCCAGAGCCTAGAAAACACTCCTGGAACATTTACAGTAGTTGTTATGGCTTAATCGGGGGATTTTGAACATTGTTTCCATGTTTTTAACAGCCTTTTGACTAATAGAAACTCAACAGGTGTAGCCAGTGGCAGCTGAAGTTTTGCATGTCCCCTCTGTATCTGCAGTTGAGGACACCTGTGGTTTTTCCTGCAATTGTAATGAATAGGGGCCCTGTCATAAAACCATGGCAGCCTTTCTTGTATTTTTGGGTGGTGGCTGCTGAACAAAAGCTGCTGCCAGTCAGAGTCGATACATAATACTGGTATAGAAGACAGTTCACTATGTTTCTAATCCCTTAGTAGCAAATCTTTGCAGGATTATG